AAATATATATATATATATAAATGCATACATACCACTATAAACATACATACATATAAATATAAATACTTATACTCTACTATGCACATATTAAGGTATGCGGGGGGGTTGTTGGCATATATTTATACAAACAAACAAATAGACATTCGAATATACTTAGTTATATAGCTAGTTATAAGCTCCCCAGTGTACATTATACCCCACTTAAATATAAGCTAGTCTTAAGGATATTTATATTTTTTAAGTGACAATACAAAGCCAGTATAGCACAAGCCAATAAAATAGATACTGACAATTGTTTTTTTGTCCAAGTACAATAACTGAATGCAAGTGTTTGATGTTGAACCGCCGCTGTGCCACATATACATACATATGTAACTATGTATGTATGTGTGTAGTTGCCGCTGTTGCCACGCGCATTGGCGGCAAATTTGGTTTGTATGTATGTACACACGTATGCGAAATTTTATGCTAGCACTCAGCCTTTCAACACAATGACAGGTATGTAAGTACAGTTTAGGACGACTTATTGGAAACGCCGCACTTTTGAATTACACTTGGCGACACTTTTTTTGTGTAAAATGTCATGAAGATCGGTTGAGTACCGACTCCCAAAACACAGTTTCGAGAAAAACGCGTTTAAAGACGGCGCACTTAGCCTCGAGCATAGATGCTCTCAAGGCTGTATCTCCAAAACTATTTCTCGGATCAACTTGAAAATATAAGACAATATTCTAAAGATGATGTAGAATTTAATAAGATAAAGACAAAGATCGATTTTTTGAAACCCATAAGCCCATGTAATCCCTTAGTGGATAAGCAGTTATCACTTTTCAAAAATCTATTTTTTATGCCTTGAGCATATTATATAAAATTTGTCACGAAGTTTGTTACACCCAAAAAGAGACGTTGGGGGACACTATAACTCCATTTCGTCTCCATATACGCGAACTAGTCCCTCAGTGTTTAAAATATTCATCTGTCGAAAGATAGGCATACATATATGTATGTATACAAGTATGTCTACTAGAAATTGTATTAGGTATACTATATGGGATTGGAACTAGCTGAAATCTTAACCCAGTTGTAACCTTTTTTGGCAGAAGGATATCATAGATATCTTATCATAGAAAAATACTCTCTGATTTTCTTTAAGATAACTCACATATTGACCGATATATAGATTATAAAATTAGCCGGAAGTTCGAATACTGTTACATTAGCTACAAACATACGTACATGAGGGCTAGGAAATCTGTTGTGCCGATTTTACCCATTTTAGACGCAAGACCTCATTATTCTCAGGAAAATATTTCTGTAAATTTCTATAATATACATATCTCACAGATTAACCAATATTCTCTGTAAAATATCAGTCACTGGTACTGAAGTCCAAATATTCGGTGTCTTAAGGCTGGAAAAGTTATAGTCCCTTCGACATTTTTTAAACTCGATTTGTCACCCTGATCATTTATCCCATATACATATATAAAACTCCATATCTATCACAACTAGAATTAGGTGTTACGAACAAACGTATAACTTTTATAATTTGTTGAATCACGTGTGAGTTTATAAAAGTATTGTTGTCATTATTCAATCGCGCTGATTGTTGCGAATCGCTAGTACTTTATTTTATAGAGCGACTTTTCGCTGATATCAGTACCGTATTAAAATTTACGATCAACGGAATGTTCTCTTTTTTTTTTCTTAAAAGAGATAATAGCACGGTTCGATTTAGTGCAATTCAAAAGTTTGTGGTGTAAGGGTTAATATCTTATACAGCACGTGTTGCTATTTGTATGTTTACATATTGTGAAGTGCAAACGATACAATTAAATTCTGAGTATAACATCATTCAAATAGCTTCCACGACTTCTTTTGCGGAAACCAATCCGATGAACTTAATTTTCGAGTACTTTTTCCACTAAATCAATTCGTATATAGTGAATAGCTCCTTCAATATTAACTTCTAAAGTTTAAAAAGAGTCTGGTTTATCGCTCAAGACCAACGACTTCAAGTAATCCCAGAAGAAGTAGTCTAGTGGTGTTAAATCACAACTTCTTGGAGACCATTAAATGTCACAATTTTTTTAAATTATCCAATCTCCGAACTTTTCTTGCCATTAATTCGGTTGCAGCGCATTATAACCTTTTTTGGACGTGGACCGTAATGTTGTGTTCATGAATAATTTGTGGTTTTTCATTGCACCAGAATCGACCCTTTTGTTCGTTACCGCAGCACTCGGATGAAAGCGAGCCTCATCGCAGAAGATGATTCTCTTATTTTCTTAAAAAAATGGTTATCGTTTTCAAGTTGTTCCAAGACAAAATCATGGACAATCAGGTGGAGAAGGAGCTGGCTTCGCGTGGAATCTCCAATTGACGCCAAGCGGCGAAAAGGAAGAACGACGGGAGCGCTGTTGGAAACGCTGTTTATAATCGCATAAGGGGTGTCTACGGCACTAAAGAAGAAGATGAAATTGTAAACTTTACTGAATTCAATGAAAAAACAATTACAGATCATTACATATAAAAATGATCGAATGGACACTTAGAAATCATATCATCCCTTTTGGAACACCCGGTAGTTGCCGGTAATTAAATCAACAATTCAATTGAGCCATTGAGCCTTAACTATGCACGCTTAAGCAGCACATTTAAAGTTGTGACAAGAGCATGTGGTTATTATTTGATTAATATAATATATTACATCGCACTTATAAATGGGCACCATACTTATATGTACATATATATTATAAGTATATAATCGTGAGCAATAAAAGATGTTTATCACTAAATTGGTCAGACGGTTTATAAACGTGATTCGTTATTTATGGACGTTTTTTAACCTTTTCGCTGTGAGTTACGCATTTCTTTTTGTTTTTGACCTACGATATTGGACATTGACATTAAATGATGAAAATGATGACATTAGAAAATAATTTTTATTTATTTATGAATTTTTACTGCCTTGATTGCTGCTTGGCTGTCTACGTAGTTGTTGCCTCTGGAATTGCCTGCAGGTGTATTAAAGGCCAAAGACCTCAATTTGAAATATACTGCAGTGGTAGAGTAATTTAAATGGCTGTCTTATGCCTAACTCTGGACAGTATATCCCGCACTAACTTCATCGTCAATTTTCGAGCCAAAAAAACAAATTTTTCTATGTTTACTTTGAACCTTCTTTCCATAGTTGAAAAGAGAGATCGGTATTTGCCAAACCGCCATTACCCACCGAGCTAAGGTAAATTGAACATAACATTTGCTCAGAGCTCGGCTGGAACACAGTCAACCTCAAAACCCCAAACATATCCGTTTTCCACTTTCAAGGTTTTCTTACCTAAAAGCTAATACTGACACTAGTTTTTACTTTGGTCATCACATCCAACCAAACTATAGTATACCTGTAAAAAAAAAAAGTAATTTTCCATTGAGGCGTTCCTTCTTACAAAATTGAACCAATTTGGCCGGTGTGTTGTCATGGTTGAAAAGCATTTTTCGCAAAATAAGTCAGTTTTTCCTACAAATCGGCATCGAATCGTCCCATTAATTCAACATAATAGAATAAACTGTTACCGTTTCGTCCTCCAGCAGATATATCAAATGCCCTTTGATCTCAATCAAAATAAAATAACTAAACGATTTTTTTTTCCTTTTCATATTTCTAACCGATACGGTCACTTCTCAGCACCGTCAAAATAATACAGCTGAAATTGTGACAGCAACCGTCTACGCACTCTTGTAGAACTCCCTGTACTCCAGTACGAGATATACGACGCCATTGACATAGTTCTGCGAATTGAGAGACAACGGCTATGCGGGCTAGGTCATGAAGACACTCCAGCTCTGATAGTATTTGGTGCAGTACCTGCTGGGGGAAGCAGAAGAAGATCACCACTCCATTGGAAATACCAGGGAGAGAACGACCTAAGCCGTGTTTAAGTCAATAAAGAAAAAGAACGGGCATCAATCTTTCGATAGTTGCGCCTTCGGACAATAAAAATAAGTACTTATTGGATATCCCCATAATATATCTGAATACAGTATTTAAACTAGACCTTAATAATGAAGAGCTACTATAATATCGAGGCGATATATTTTCAGAGAATTATATAGAAGGATTTATCACATGTGTGAAACACATACGAGGTGTGTTCAAAAAGTATCGCGAATTTTGAATTTTCGCGGGTTACGTATATTCGAATTTCGAATTTTTTGTGGCGTTATATTGGTACTCATGTCTCTCACTTATGCCGACAAGCTCGGCTCGTCTTCGATTTTTACCTATTCAAAAAAATGGATCAAAGAACCTGCATCAAATTTTGTGTGAAAAACGAAATTATGTTGACTGTGGCATACGGAGAAGCTACCTTGGACCGAAGCAACATTTATCGGTGGTACAAAATGTTACATCGTTGCTTAAGCGCGATTTTTTGGCCAAAAACAACACACTAATGATGCCGCAGGCACCGTACTCCCCATATCTGGCCCACTGTGACTTTTTCTTGTTCCCCAAACTGAAGAGGCCCATGAAAGGACGACGTTACGCTTCTCTTGACAAGATAAAGACGGCATCGAAGGAGGAGCTGAAGAAGAAAACAAAATATTTTTTGAAATGCTTCGAAGATTGGAAAAACCGTTGGCACAAGTGTATAATATCTCATGGGGATTACTTTGAAGGGGCCAAAATAGATATTCATGAATAAATAAATAATTTTTGAAAAAACACAAAATTCGCGATACTATTTGAACACACCTCGTACAGCACCTTACACCTTGTACCGTATACATTATGATTTTATATGAAAAGAAAATCTTAAGTAATTATTGCTATTTGTCAAAATCTCTGCTCAGCAATATTTTGTGATAAGATAGCCTCAACACTGACCATAATACTTGGACTTATTTATGATCAGATTAATGCAAATGCCCCATAAATAATATTAATTGCATAATTAAACTTTTTAGTGCACAAATTTTCGTATAAAAACACAAGAAGTTGGCGTTTCAAACATATTAGTTATTTGGTATTCCCCGAAGAGCAGACATGAAGAGCCTACTTGCCTTATTACTCGCAGTAGCTGTAGGTAAGCTATTTCGTACCGAAAACGAGCAAACACCTCTCATTTCACTTAAAACTACCTTGGTTACTTTACAGCTTCAGCTTTCCCCATTGATGAGGATAGGCAATCTGGTGAAGGTGGATGGTACGTGCCACAACTGGATGGATCCTTCGAATGGATAACCACCGAAGAAGCTGAAGCCATGCGTCAAGCACCAGGTGGTCGTGCCGCTACTGTAGTCTATTTCCATTTGTACACCAATGAGAATCCCACCACACCAGACACAATCATTTCGGGTAATGCCGCTTCCTTGGCTGCATCTCACTTCAACAAAGCAAATCCAACCAAATTTATAATCCACGGTTGGCAATCAGATTCTGATTCCGCTCTGAACCCATTGATCCGTGACGCTTACTTGTCGACTGGCAAATTCAACATTTTCTCTGTAGACTGGAGCGACAAGGCACAGACAATTAACTATGCTGCCTCCGTATTGCGTGTGCCCGRTGTTGGTAAACAGGTTGCTACCTTCATCGATTTCTTGAACCAGGAAGGTGGTCTGTCCTTCGATAAGGTACATGTGATTGGTCACAGTTTGGGTGCTCATGTATCTGGAATTGCGGGCAAAAATGTACGTTACGGTCGTATTCAGCAAATTACTGGCTTGGATCCTGCCTTACCCTTGTTCAGCTATGACTTACCCGCTGATCGCTTGAGCCAAAACGATGCTTACTATGTGGAGTCCATTCAAACTTGCGGTGGTCTTTTGGGTTTCTTGAAACCAATTGGTAAATCTGCTTTCTATCCTAACGGAGGTAAAAGTCAACCTGGATGTGGTCTCGATCTGGTTGGATCATGCGCTCATTCGCGTTCATGGATCTACTATGCTGAAGCTATCGAAAAGAATAATTTCCCATCTATGAAGTGTGGCGATTATGAGAGTGCTGTAGGCAAGTCTTGTGGTCAGACCTATTCTTCGGTACGCATGGCTGCCCCCACAAATTATGTTAACGCTGATGGTGAATTCTATGTTCCAGTGAACAAGAAGGCTCCCCATGGCAAGGGTAAATAGTGATTATCTGTTAATCAAATATATTTTAAATAAATTTCAATAAATATATTCAAAAGGTCAATTAAGTGGTTTTCAAACACAAAAAACTAGAAAAATTTCGAATTTTCGAATGCACTGAAATTATAATACCTTTCCCAAATACAAAATATTCCATACAAGTACTTGATTTTGATCGGTCTGTTTGTAAAGTAGCTATAAGCTTTAGTGATCATATTTGTGGAATTTCTTCGGATATTGTACCTTTGCCTTTAACAATAGTTCAAGCCGAATTTTCTGAAGATATCTTGCCAAATAGTTTTGTGGGCATGGACGTGATTTTAATTGTTCAGTTTGTATGGTATCTATATGCTCTGATCATACATACATATATACTGTATAGGGTCTCCGACGTTTGTTGTATGTTTTACAAACTCCATAACAAACTGAATGTACACTGTTCAGAGTATAATTAACGGCCTGCGGTGCGTATGAGTAATTTTTAAGAATTTCAGGCATTCTACCATAGAAGAAATAAGAACATAGATGCTTCGAATAAACTTTTCTAAAATACTATTTTACAATTTCTTTTAAAATTAAAGGATTAAATACATTTCTATATAGATAAAAATTATGTTAGAATTCACAAAGAAAAAAAAACCTTCAGAAAAATAACGATCAAGAGCAGTTCATTCATTTGAAAGATAATTATTTGGAGCGACGAATATCCACACAAGATAAAGTCTAACAGTGAGATATCACACGATCTTGGTGGCCAATGACCGGCCCAAAACAAGAAATTATTTGCTCACCGAAGTGTTCTCTCAATAAATGCATTGATTGATGATATGTGTGGGAAGTGGCGCCGTTTTGTTGAAACTAAATGTCGCCGAAATCACGAGCTTCAATTGCAGACATCAAATAATCGGTTATCATTGCGCGATAACGGTCGCCATTGACGGCTACGCCTTACCGACATCATTTTTGGACTAATGATTCCACCGACCCACAAACCACCCCTAACCGTTTTTTTTTTTTTACTTGATTAAATGGTTGCTCTTTGTCTCAAGTTTTTCTTGTTTACATACCCATTGAGCGATGAGACCCGCTGAACATAATTTGACGAAAACGTTGGATCTTCCTGGAACTTTTCAAGCAAAGCGATGTCGCTTAGGAAGGTTGAGCTGCTACAGTTCTTGTACAAGCTGAATTTTGTATGCTTTCAATTGAAGATCTCAACGTAAAATGCACCAAGTCGTTCTTTACGTCATGACGCGTCAGTCTGAGTTGCTGCGAATGGCGCCGCCACAGTCTTCATGTACACTCTACGGCTACTATTGTCTTCACTGCGTGCTGGACGTGGTATTCGGTCGAATTTCGTCCAATAATGAATGCTGGGTGTCGAGATGAGTGATAGTGTTGCGAATAGTACGCTCAGTGGGCCGATTATGATGACCAGAAGATGAGCGAAGCGCGTCAAACACATTTTCTTACAAAACCTGAATTTTCGTAATAAAATTTAAAGAAATTTAAAAAAAAAATTTAACAAATACATGATGACAGGTTGACACGACCCACGCGTGATCTGAAAAGGCTTTTGAAAATAGTACCTATCTTCGGTCATCCGTTACAAGTGTAACAAAAGTCTAGCTTTTTTTAAAAGAATATTGATTGTGGCGCGAAATAATTTTTATAAACTTATCCGTCCTTTGAGTATCATGGGATCGTTATAGAGTAGATTGAACTTAAACATCTTTTAATGTTTTTTCTGAGTTCACTTTCATCAATTGTGACGTTTCTGCTCTGGTTTGCTTGTGTCCCTACCGGTGCGGATTGGATTTACAGTTACCGAATAAAGACTAATGTCTAAACTTTTTATTCGCTAATCAGCTTTTTGCAGGCAAAGCATCCACATTACGCATTCCAGTTTCGTTACATATAATATATTAATAAGATATTTTTTACGCTTTTCCAAATACTAAAACTTTATTATTGGCAATATTTTATGGCATTTCATAACAATTGCTTATTCTAAATATCAGAATAATGTGCATTTCACACGCCCTTGCCATGGGGAGCCTTCTTGTTCACTGGAACATAGAATTCACCATCGGCGTTGACATAATTTGTGGGGGCAGCCATGCGTACCGAAGAATAGGTCTGACCACAAGACTTGCCTACAGCACTCTCATAATCGCCACACTTCATAGACGGGAAATTATTACTTCGGATAGCTTCAGCATAGTAGACCCATGAACGCCGATGAGCGCATGATCCAACCAGATCGAGACCACATCCAGGTTGACTTTTACCTCCGTTCGGATAGAAAGCAGATTTACCAATTGGTTTCAAGAAACCCAAAAGACCACCGCATGTTTGAATGGACTCCACATAGTAAGCATCATTTTGGTTCAAGCGATTAGCGGGTAAGTTGTAGCTGAACAAGGGTAAGGCAGGATCCAAGCCAGTAATTTGCTGAATACGACCGTTACGTACATTTTTGCCCGCAATTCCAGATACATGAGCACCCAAACTATGACCAATCACATGTACCTTATCGAAAGACAGACCACCTTCCTGGTTCAAGAAATCGATGAAGGTAGCAACCTGTTTACCAACATCGGGCACACGCAATACGGAGGCAGCATAGTTAATTGTCTGTGCCTTGTCGCTCCAGTCTACAGAGAAAATGTTGAATTTGCCAGTCGACAAGTAAGCGTCACGGATCAATGGGTTCAGA